TACAGCAGGACCAACAATTTTTGGCTAGCTTCGCCACTGGTTTCTACATACGCATTTAAGTCCAATGTGTACAATTGCTGGAGACTGAGTTTTGTAAACTTTAGAAAAAACTTCCTTTCGGACACCTTTCAGTGCAGAAATGACACAAACTGACATTTATTCGTGCTGACGAAAGTCAAATGTTTTATCAATTATGGCAGCATTACAACCACTTTCTTTTACTTCTTTGACAATCTTTTCAGGCACTGATTGGGCTGTTGCTGTTTTTGTCGCTTTTTGTGTTTTTTCACTCAACAGATTTTTACCATATTTCATTACTTCCGAAAGCGCTCACGATTACGACTACTTGATTTTTTCATCTCAGAGATTTTTTAATGTATTTTTTCTTATACTTTTTGATTTTAGAGAAGACTCTTGCCCGAATTTTGCCCGAAAAGATCAGCTGCCCGAATTTTGCCCCTCCCCCCCCCCCAGCTCCCCCGTTTCGTACGCCTATGTATAATTGAAATTCTTCACGGCCTGAGCTTGAGTTTCGGTATATTTTTTCAGATTTTTCTCTACGTACAAAGGAACTCAATTTAAGATTTGTAATTAGAATTACAAAATAAAAAGCAGACAAATTGTAATCATATGTGTTGTTTTATCAAATGAACAAGATTTTGTGTTAGAAGGAACATCTTACTAGAATGGCTATTGGTGCATGCTGTTTAACACGATGCATTTGTTGACATAGCAGTTGAAATAGAATTGAGTTTTGTTTTTTCTTTTACTTTTACCATGAAATTGCTGAGTCATGTTCATATTGATGTTGGGTCAATTCAAGCATCTCAGCTTGAAACCTACCAATTTCAGATTCTGGAATCCAGCACTATACTGTTCTTGTGCATGCACCAGCCATACTCTGCAGACTTGTACTCGCCCAAGTTTAATGTTGCAATATTGATTGGAAGTAAGTTGGTATAGACAGTTGTTTTTTAAAACTATCTTTGTTCATTTTACTGGTTTGCTGTCTATTGCAGCAAGCTGGAGCTATGACACTATGTTGATTTCCTTATTTGCAACAAAAACTAGCAAGTTTTTTAACCCTAAGTCCTTAAGTCTTAATCTTTTAACCGTGCATAAAAGTTTTCTGCAAGCATAAACCCTTCCCTGACTTGAATGCTCTATGGTTATATAGAAGAAGGAGCAAAGTTATAAGGCATATTATAACTTCTTGTGTGTTTTTCAAAACAAATGTAACAAACGTAAGTTATATCATAGCAACAGGACCCTATTTCAAATAATATTCTTGCATGCAAGGTAAGTGTCCTTGAACCATCCAGGTAATCCCTTATAATAGCACTAAGGTATTTGAAACAATAAAAATGATGTTGAAACATACAATATATCCTTTATGTAAGCATACCACATTATGCTTGTTTATCAATTTGACAGTTTATCAATCTGTAACGGCATAAAGCATTTCTTTACCACTCCTAAGAATTTTTGGCATCGCCCCTGGAGTCATTCTATTTGTTATTCTCTTCTCTATCTGCAAGGTTCTGAATTTTTTTCTTTCCTCACCTTTTGTAGAAAGTAGATAGTAGTGAAAGGGGTGTAATGTTTGAAAAACTTGGCTTGAGCTACCATGGAGCACCATATTTGTCTAAACATTTAGGATATTTACCCTGGGTACCAGACTCACTAAATATAAAATTAGTGAGTCTGGTACCCAGGGTATAGGATATTATGCTACTTTGTTAAATTGTTTAGGAAATTTGAGCTTTTGGCAAATATAAAGATAGTGCGCTTGTTAATTTTCATAACATCATAAGAATTAAATTAATTAAACGTTATAAAATTATTGGGCGTGACCAGTGCTGAGGAGAGGGGGGTCATGGGGGTCAGGGGGTCACTGACCCAGGCTCTTGGCTAAAGGGGCCAATAGATAACAACTCAATTAAAAACAATATCTAGATAATAATCCAGCCTCTCCATTGCCACCAACTGTCATTAATAGAGACAACAATGACAACCGTGTACAACAATTAGATAAACATGGACAACCGTGTTAAAGTACCGACAAGACCAGAATTTCTCCGACAAAATAGCAGTTTAGCTCTAAGGGGGTTTGCCCCTCTGACCCCCCTCTTTTTACGCCACTGCCACCAAAGCAGTTTAGCCACCATATCAATTTTAGCAACCAGAATAGCCACCAGAGCAATTTAAGCAACAATCATTTTCAAAAATTCCTGGGGAGCATTCCCCTACCCCGTAGAAGTGTCTGCCGAAGGCATGCTTTATTATTTATCTTTCGTCCTGATTATCTATCTATCCACGGCCCTGGGTGTGACAATGAACGACAACTCGACTCTATTCATCTTTCTGTTGACGTTGTATGTCTCCTAACTCTTACTCGACTACATCCAAATTTTGGTTTACTATCATCACCGCACAAGAGATCTTTTTGTCATTTCATTTCCACACAATTATTTCAAATTTCCACAGCACCTCCCTTATGGCCTTCCTCTTAACTACACAACAATAAAAATGGTGGGCAAGCGCTCGTGGCGTCGCCAGCTCGAGAAAACTGGGGTGGACGAAAATCAATTTTCTCAGCCACGCCCTTCTGGCTCTTGGAAATGCATTTTTAGTATTTCGAAATCTTTTGGCAAGGAACTTTCTCAAGCAGCTTGTTTCGAAACGGTAGCTTTTTTGCAAGTGCGAGAATTGAAAATGATCTGATCAGCCTTATTGGAAGGGGGGAGGGGTGATTAAATCAATTCATACACTTGTTTTTTTCATATATTACAAAGTCATGATCTACGATATCATGCACTGTCATTAAATAGAAACAAATCGTTGGTTGGATTAGGAATTGGAATACCTGTGATGTATTAAGCAAGGCTGAAAAGGTTGTGAAACGCTAATGGTTTTTAGAAAAACTCAATAATTTTCAAGTTGAAACGATTTTTTTCGTTTGTTTCCCTTTCATTTATTCGCAAAGGGTTACATGCTTGATCGCTATTGAAGGTGAAACTTTGGGCATTCCCAAGAGGCCATTTTGCCATTGATTGGGGGTGGCCCCTTTGCGGATGAGAGTTTGACCAGGAATTCGGCAGGGACTTGCTCCACCGGCTGCAGATATGGAAGTGGTCGTTGCACAAAGCTGGCCGTTATTAGAGGTTTTACTGTACTCCTACTCTACACTGACTGCCTGTTTTTATACTCTCACAACAGAAAGTTCTATTTAAGTATTGGTGTGTAGTTACGGCTCTGTTATCTCCGCGTAGGTAAGCAAGGCTCAGTCACTCCGCGTAAATAATCAATAGTTGCAGTTCTGTTTCCTCCGCTTAGGGCCTCCTGCCTTAGCAAATATGCATCTACATCGTCTTGAGACACATCAAAACACAGAGAAAAAACTTTTTATCTGTGTTTTGATGTGTCTAATAAAAAACAATTTCAAAATCATTGGGCAAGCAAGGTCGTCTTTTCATTTAAGAGTTTTAGAATCTGTTTACATCAAAACAAAAAATCCCGCCTTGTGTAGGCAGAAAAAAATCGTGAAATGAAGGTATTTTACTAGCACAAGCAGGGGCGAAACTACCGGGGGGTGTGGGGGGGTGTGGCACCCCCCAATCCAAAAAATAGTCGATTTGACAGGGCAATCGAAGATTTCGCAGGGCGCCAAGAAGAGCTTTATTGCCACGCAGAAATGCCACCTCTGAAGTTCGTAAAGAGCCGTTTAGGAATTTTGAAATGGAAATATCGTATTTGTTATGAACCTCCCTTCCTGGCATTTTAGAGAACGGAACAGGTATGTAAGGAAAAGCTCTGTTATTTGCAAAGCGAAAGCATTTCTTACCGAAAGTCATAGCCAATGGATGCAATGATTGATGCATATGTTTATGAGGGCAAGGTTGAGTCATGCAAATTAATTTAAGTTGTAAATTATTTTCATGACAAGCACGGCGTCACTGGGGGGGGGGGTGGAATAAGGGGCTGAAGTCCCTCACTTTGGTCAAGATAGGAATTTTTTATCATTTTTTCTATTAACTTTTAACAGTGCATAAAAAACATAATAAATCGTTAAGATACCGATTTTGTTTCATCTAATTGCTAACTTTTTCGCGTATATTTTTATTATTTTTCTTTTATTTGCACTAAGTCAGTAAATCACTTTCTGTATCATTTTTAATTTTGGCCTTCTTGATACAAGAAACTGCACATTTCTGTTCAGGAAAAAAATTCTCCCAATCAAAACAACATCTTCCTCTGTCATTCACAACTACGTGCAATCTGAAACGAAAGGTTGCCGTTTCTTTCCTTCCCCAACGTCTAACACTAGAGTTTTAGCATGACATCCCCCTCCCGTTTTTTCCCAATTAACAATAATATTTTCAAAAAACAATCAATTCTTTTAGCACAATAGTATTTTGCTAAATTTTTGTCTGAAAGATGCTTTTTAGCCCTTTTTACAAGGTATAATTTCAAAAAATTTCTTCACGTCGGACCCAACCATGGGTCCTCCTACCTCACTAAACTCGACTCTTAGCCCCACTGGGTTAAATTTCGTTCCGCTGTCTACATCATTACCCACCCCCCATCCCCCAGTTAGCTGTTTATTAGCTTAATTTTGCAAACCAACATTAAATGAAGTGAATATAAAAAAACAATTTACGCTCGCGTAGAGAAATAGAAATTTCATAGGCAATGAAGTTTCAAGTTTGTTTTTTTTCCTTAGAAGTTTGTCCTTGGTAAAGACCAGTGTACACTGGTAAAGCTTTCACTAGTAACTTATAGACAAACCGTTACTACGAGGTCTGCAGGGCACCACTCAGTTTTGCAGGGCAGAAACCCTTTTCACCCCCCCCCCAAAACTATTGGCCAAGTTACGCCCCTGAGCACAAGAAGTGATGGATAACATTGCCAAATAAACTATTTCTGCCGGAATAATTAAACCGAGCAATGTTCCCGTACGATAAATTCAGTTCAAGATCAACAAGAGGAAAACAAACTGGTTATAATTCCAAGGTTCTCTCAATCAGTGGTATTTGTAAACAATGAATCTTCAATCTAGATTCCAACATAACCGATTACTAAACAATATCCATATATTCGCGAAACATAATCAACCTTTATTCAATACACGCGTTCGTGTTCCAATCGATCAAGAAAACCATCTCCATTCAAGCAATCCAACAATCCAAGTCCTATCAATCAAAAGTCCCATCAACGAAAGTCCCCCAACCTCGAATTAATCCCCTTATATACATCACGGAAATAAACTAAACAATACTCATTATTTGCAATGTGTCCTCCGCAGAGTCTTCATGTTTTCTAACATCCTCCCCCCTTGATTGAGGAGGTACGAATCAATCAATGATAACAGTTAAATTTACACGATATGTTCGGCTACATCTTTGTCCATGATCGTTGTGATCTTTGGCTCCAATTCTTGCTCTTCATGTTTCTTTTCATCAACGCAACTGGATAGTTCTAACGGATACAGGTTCCGTAAAGGGCGATTAAGAGTTATAATTTTATTCGATTTGTCAAGCGTTACAAGCTTGACTGCGCGTACAATGTTGTCTCTGCCAACCAATAATTTTTCAACACGACCCATCTTCCATAATAACCGAGGTGTTTTGTCCTTATATATGTGAACTAAATCTCCTACTTTGACCTGCGAGCATCTACGAGCCTTGCCTCTTTCGCGCGATTTCTCACGAAGCGAAGTTAGATATTCGGACTTCCAACGTCCTTTGAAATGTTCCAAAACTCTTTTGACGTATTTAGCGCGATTTGGTAAGGATTTTTCACCTGGAATTTCTGAATCACACTCGTACAAATCTAATAACCGACGTCCACAAACGAGATGAGCGGGAGTTAACGGCGTTTCCGTTAGCTCGTTATGTACATAAGTTAAAGGTCGCGAATTAAGAATTCCTTCTGTCTCGATGATAACTGTTTCTAGCTCTTCGTACTTTAATTTGGCACTGCCCAATGTTTTCCGGAGACATCTCTTTGTCAATTTGACGCAAATTTCAAACATACCTCCCCACCAACTAGCTGTGGGAACGTTATAAATCCAGTGTATGCCCTTTAAAGATACAAACCGCCTCACATTTGAATCCCGAAACGTTGATCCATTATCCGAGACAATCAACGATGGTAATCCACGACGACCGATAAATCTTTGTAAAACACGCATGAACGAATCCGAGGATAAGTCTGGTGTTAGCTCCAAATGTATAGCACGCGTACTCGCGCACGTGAATAACGCGATGTAACATTTATGCATTGACTTATCTTTTGAGTATATATCCTGCACATAAAGAGGCCCCGCAAAGTCAACTCCAACCCTTGTGAAAGCAAAATCATCCGCAACACGAAAAGAGGGTAAAGGTGGAGCGGGTAGAACATCAAATGGCTTCGCCGAAAACTTCTTACATACAATGCATTTTGATAAAATTTTACGCACAACTTGTCTCCCTCCGATTATCCAGTACTTCGACCTTAGCTCCGTCAATGTTTCTCTTACACCGTTATGTTTCACATTGAAATGGCACAACCAAACATAAAGTTTTGTGAAATGATGTTCCCTCGGTAACAGAATTGGAAACTTGGCACTATACGGCATGGTTGAGTTCTCAATACGACCCCCTACCCTCATTAAACCATCGTCATCGACAACGACTCGAATATTGTCCCGTGATTTCTGAAATTTTACATCTTCCTTAAATGATTTTTGAACCTCTCTGTGCCATAACGATTCAGCTTCGTTAAAATCAGTTTTCGAAATGTTCTTTTCAATTTGCTTATTACGTAGAATCTTGATAAACTTCAAGACGAGGGCTGTTATTCTAATTAGTTTAGTATAGCTGCTGAACCTTTCGCATGGAATGACAGTATTCACACTTAGATTCTGACTATTTTCAGACACGCAAACAAGAGATACAACGTTTGTTTTGGATTTAAGTTCAGAGACTGCCATATCTGAAATGCTACTTTCGCGTGATAGAAAATTTGAACTTGGCCAGTTTTCACAGTCTTTTATCAAAAAGTCCGGACCATGCCACCATAGTTGATTTCCAACTAATCTCTCTATTTTAATGCCCCGTGACGCAATATCGCTTGGGTTTTTATCCGTGGGGCAATAAAACCAATGTTCCTTAGGAAACATGTCACGAATTTGACCTAACCGATTAGCAACAAACGTTTTAAATTCCTTCGGTTCTTTGTAGATCCACCAAAGTACAATTTGTGAGTCACACCAACAATACACCTTATTAATTGTAGTGACACGATACAAAGCGTTCACAATTGAGGTCAATAATTGCGCTGAGAGTAATGCGGCCGACAATTCGAGGCGCGGAATAGTCTCGTCTTTCATTGCAACTATCTTAGTTTTAGAAGCAATTAGCTGTGTTTTCCACCCTTGATCCGTTTCTATGCGCAAATAAACGTTGGCACCGATGGCTATTTTACTTGCATCAGAAAAACTGTGTAATTCAAACGATTTAATTTGCTGTCCTTCGATGTCAGCGAGTAAACACCGCGGGAATTCGATTTCAGAAAGCGATTCAAAGTTTTCAATTATAGCTTTCCAACGCGAATGAATTTGTTCAGAAAGAGGAGTGTCCCAATTAACTTTCATTAAGCATACCTCATGAAACAATATTTTCAAAGGCAAAATAGCACATGAAATCAAACCGTGTGGGTCGAAAACGCGAGCGATAGTACTTAGAATTGCTCTTTTTGTAGCGAGCTCCTTCGCAACACCCTTTACAACATCGTTCAAATCAAATTTCATTACATCGCGTTCCTTGACCCATGGTATTCCTAAAACTTTCACGCTTTTTTCATCGGTTTCATTTTGAAATTGCTTCTTAGGAGAGTTACCAGAGAACGTGTCTGTTTTGGACTCTTCACATTCAATTAAATTCATCAACTGACTACTATTTGAGGCCCATTTTCTCATATTGAAACCTGCTTCCTTGAACCGAAATTTCAGTTTTTGATACAAAGCGAAAGCATCTTCAGTTGTTTGGACAGAAGAAGCAAAATCATCTACGTACGTAGAATTTTTCACTAAATCCACGAAATCGGGATCAGTTCTCTCATATTTATCCATATGATGTCTTATTGTCGCGTTGAGAACAAACGGTGAACTGACTAAACCGAAAACAAGACGCGTAAATCTGTACGTAACAAGTTTTGGATTTTCAGTGTCGATATCATTTACCCATAAGAAACGAAGCAAGTCCCTCTGGCTAGGGGTAATAGCAATGTTCAGAAAAGCCTTTTCCAAATCTCCAATTAAAGCAACCTTTTGCATTCGAAATCTTAACAACACGTCAAAAATCATCGGTATAAGAGCAGGTCCAGTGTGCATGCAATCATTCAAACTTACTTCACCAGGTCTTTTAGAGCTGGCATCATATACTACACGAAATTTTGTGGTCTCTTTATCCGCCCTTACTACCTCTCTATGTGGTAAAAAATGAACTTCACCTGGCTTATCCATTTTATCGATTTCCACGCGTTCGATAACCCCCGCATCTAACTGTTGTGAGATAACGTCGTTATATTCTTCAAGAATGTCTGGTTTTGAGTTCAACCTTTTAAGCAAAGAATTTAGCCGGTTTTTTGCGAGAGAAAAATTGTCAGGAATGACTGGATGACATTCTTTCATTGGCAAAGAAACTTCATATCGACCGTTTTTAAACCGAGCATCTTTAACAAATTGGTCGTACACTTCAGAATCAGCCGTTTTTTCTTTTAACCCTACTGATTCAATGTCCCAGAACTTATTAACATCAGCATCAACAAAGTCATTTGCTGCACTTTGAACCTCTGCTTTCATTACATGAATTGTTTGCACATGCATAGAACTGCAAACATTATAAATGTCCTTAACCGGACCGTTTAAAACGAAACCAAGCCTAGTTGGTACAGCAGTTGGACCCTCCCCCCTTACAGGAGGTCCTCCGACAAATGACCAGTAATAATCTGATCCGATAAGTAAATCGATATCTACTTGTTCTTTGCTTGTAATATAATCAGCAAGAGGCAAACCTTGCAAATACGGATACTGTTCAATTGCAACATCAATACACTGATTATTTAATGGACTGCAAATCAACGGAATAGAATACGCTTTCATGTAAATTTTCAATCCGTCACTGCAAACCACAGTTAATTGTACTACGTCGCATTCACGAAATTTAGGTTCTGATTCGCCAAAAACCTTAATCAACTGTTTTTCTTTGCCTATAACCGGCAGCTTCAGATAATTACAGAGACGTGAACTCACAAATGTTTTAGATGAACCACTATCAAATAGAACCCTTACATTTGCAGACAAGTTATCGTTACAAGCATTCAAAACTGTTGCCTTTGCTGTCTGCAAAAGCACCGATAAGTCACGATCAACAGCTACATTTACGGCCGAACTCTGTACCCTGTTATTACTTGAATTTCTATGTAAGGCATTGGCATTACATAGGGCAATGTGGTGCTTCCGATTACAATTGAAACACCTTTTTCCTGTAGGGCAAAAGGAAGCTACGTGTCCAGTTTTAAAACACAAAAAGCATCTGCCTTTTTCTCTTAGAATGTTCATTTTAGTTTGCGGATTAGTTATAGAAGTGCACTTACTAGCAACATGCGATCCATCGCAAAAGAAACATTTCAAACCTCCTTGATTCGCGTATAAGGCACTCACGGTCGATGGTTGGTGCTGTCTGCTGCTCATAAACTCTCTTGCGTTTGGTTTTCTCCATGAACTGCTACTAGAAACTCCTCTGCTCTCATTCGAAACAACACATTTTTCGCGCAATTGCACCTCCTTTCCGAAAAGATCCAAAACTTCCTCCAAGTCCCAACTTCCTTCGTCGTCCGATAGATTGCGGCTTATGGTAACTCGTAATTCCTCTGGAATCTTTGCCATCAATACTGGCGTGATAAAAGTTCCATAACTGGAGGGCTCTGTTCCGATGCTTTTGAGACCCCTTACCACTGTTTCTGTTTTATCATATAGGGATCGCAAACTTTTCAAATCTTCGAAGGAACTCACGATCGGCAACTTCATGATTGTGTTCATGAAGTTCGATATAATGACTTGCTTGGAACCAAATCGCTTTTGTAATATATCCACGACCTCCTTATAATTGCCATTTGAGATAGGTAATCCTTCGATCGCCGTATACGCTGCACCTCCCAAATATGATCTTAGGTACTTAAATTTGTCAACATCGTTGAGCTCATCGTCCAGTCCTATAGCAGACTGGAAGCTGTCCCAAAAAGTAACCCATTCGAGGGGGTTTCCATTAAAAGTTGGCAGCTGCAACTTTGGCAAGTTTATCTTTTTCTTATTTCCATTACCAGAGTTTCGAGAGCAGCAAGAAGAATCTGACGCAGCCTCTGATGAATTGGCCTTGTATTCTAAACATATCTCAGTCAAGCAAATGGCCTCGTGCAAAAATTCATCAAATTCGCTTCGCTCAACAATTTCCCTTTCAATATCTTCCGCTGATAATGCAGTTTCGATTTGCCTGTTCAAATTATCAAGTTCGTTAGACTGCCTGTCCAGTGAACGTTTCAGCGATTGTAACTTTGATCTATCAACGATAGATATTTCCGATAAATTCTCGCGATATTTCTCAAAAATTTCGTTTGCAGTGTTAAAAGCCTTTTTAACGGCTAGTTTATGACCGTTCCGAGTCTGTATCAACTTCTTTATATCAGTCATCATGTAACGTTCGATTCCATACTTTAACTGCAACTCGCAATCCAAATATACATATATTCAACAAAAATAACCGAAATCCGATCACCACCAGTCTGTTCCCGGGTCACGGCACCATAAAATGATGGATAACATTGCCAAATAAACTATTTCTGCCGGAATAATTAAACCGCGCAATGTTCCCGTACGATAAATTCAGTTCAAGATCAACAAGAGGAAAACAAACTGGTTATAATTCCAAGGTTCTCTCAATCAGTGGTATTTGTAAACAATGAATCTTCAATCTAGATTCCAACATAACCGATTACTAAACAATATCCATATATTCGCGAAACATAATCAACCTTTATTCAATACACGCGTTCGTGTTCCAATCGATCAAGAAAACCATCTCCATTCAAGCAATCCAACAATCCAAGTCCTATCAATCAAAAGTCCCATCAACGAAAGTCCCCCAACCTCGAATTAATCCCCTTATATACATCACGGAAATAAACTAAACAATACTCATTATTTGCAATGTGTCCTCCGCAGAGTCTTCATGTTTTCTAACAAGAAGTTGTTAAACACAAGAACCCCTGACTTGTTTCGTAACGAAGCAAAGTTTGCATACACAGGTTGCAACGTAGTTATAAGCACTAAAACTGTACAAGAGAGTTCATGAAATCGGTTTACAATTTTTATAAAATTGTCGGCTCTCTGAAATTGACGGTACATAATGTCTTATCGCCATCCCAGGTTGCCTGTGTATCCAGGTTCTTAAGAAGTCATTGATATAGGCCTACTACAATAAACTTAAAAGGAAACAAAACTACAGAATGTGAAAATGTTTACCTTGTCGACAACCAGGGCCGTAAATTCCGGCGGGGGGGACTGGACCCCCCAAAAATCTGGAGCAAGACGATTTTTTTTAGAAATTACCATAATTTTCCTTGAGAGAAAGAAATACCTAGTAGCTGGGTTAGGACCAAACTACGTTTTTCTGTGTTATTGCAACATCAGTGGCGAAGCCAGCAAAAAAATAAACAGGGTTTTCGGCACCACAGCAAGGTACCCAATTTAAGTTAAGGTTAGATCAGCTCCCTTGAAAAAAGTGTCTTCAGCTATTGTGAAAATACCCAGAAAAGCCTCAGGCGGGCACAGTGGCGAAGCTAATAATTCGCTTGTGGTGCCATGATCCACTGCATGCTTTATATTCCTTCGCTCTGCTGACCCCCCCCAATTCATGACAATCCTAGCCTCTTTAATATTAGCTGTTATTGTAAAACCAATTTCTCCTTGCTTAGCCTACCACGACACTAATCACTCAATATGTTTTGAACAATCTTTGCCACCATCGCTGTCTTTAATAAGTTATGCCCATATTCATATACTACTCATGATACTCCTTCAGTTACAGATTTGCTAGAAAATAGATTTTTTAAATGGCAGTCTAGTCAGAGTTCAGTGGCATTTCAATCATGGAGATCTCATTTGATTCCAGTTTCAGAAAGGGCAAATTTAAGATAACTTTGATCCAGAAAAAATCTAAATTCAAAATGAATTTTGGGTTGGCAAGAAATTTGCTGCTCACGACAGCGGAAAATTTTGCCGAAGCAATACCACCAATTCAATTTTGTCGTGGTTCAGATTTTCTCTAAAAATGGAGCATCCCTTAAGCTTTGTAACAGAAAGAAAAATTGGAATTCTACAGGGAAAAAATTTTTACCATGCTAAATGGAAAAAATTGTTTTTGCCAAGACAACCTTCGACCCTTAAATGAAGACATACAACAATAAAGAAGGCAAACAATTATTTCTGAATGATTGTGTGCAAGTAAAAGCAAAAGTGTGGGATTAAAAACCAATTAAAAAAGTGTTTGATAGTCTTTGGATTCAATTGTCGTCTGGTACCATCCAAGAGCTAAAAAGTAGATAAAAAAGTTTTAGTTCTAAATTTTCTGGCGGTGTTATTAACGAAAACAACAGGTTGAAAAACTAGTGAACTCCACAGCTTACAATATTGCAAAAAATATTGAAAGTAAAACAAATTCCAACCTTAAGATTTATCAACCTCGGAAGGGTCTGCAAATGCAACGATTGCCACGGCAACGACGTCTGAATCCTTTGGGACACCTGCAAGGACATTTGAGTCCTCGATAGTAACATTTTCTGCTTATGCCTTTTCCAACGCAAACTTTACGTCGGGTACAACGGTGATACCTGTTCGGTCTGCACTGCCTTATACAAGCGCAACGATTGCCACGGCAACGACGTGTGTATCCTCTGCGACACCTGCAAGGACATCTGAGTCCTAGATGGAAACATTTTCTTCCTTTGCCTCTTCCAACGCAAACTTTACGTCGGGTACAACGGTGATACCTGTTCGGTCTGCAATACGTTATACGACGTCTGCAAATGCAACGATTGCCACGGCAACGACGTGCGTATCCTCTGGGACACCTGCAAGGACATTTGAGTCCTCGAAAGGAACATCTTTTTCTTATGCCTTTTCCAACGCAAACTTTACGTCGGGTACAACGGTGATACCTGTTCGGTCTGCACTGCCTTATACAAGCGCAACGATTGCCATGGCAACGACGTGTGTATCCTCTGCGACACCTGCAAGGACATCTGAGTCCTAGATGGAAACATTTTCTTCCTTTGCCTCTTCCAACGCAAACTTTACGTCGGGTACAACGGTGATACCAGTTCGGTCTGCAATACGTTATACGATGTCTGCAAATGCAACGATTGCCACGGCAACGACGTGCGTATCCTCTGGGACACCTGCAAGGACATTTGAGTCCTCGATAGTAACATTTTCTGCTTATGCCTTTTCCAACGCAAACTTTACGTCGGGTACAACGGTGATACCTGTTCGGTCTGCACTGCCTTATACAAGCGCAACGATTGCCACGGCAACGACGTGTGTATCCTCTGCGACACCTGCAAGGACATCTGAGTCCTAGATGGAAACATTTTCTTCCTTTGCCTCTTCCAACGCAAACTTTACGTCGGGTACAACGGTGATACCTGTTCGGTCGGCAATACGTTATACGACGTCTGCAAATGCAACGATTGCCACGGCAACGACGTGCGTATCCTCTGGGACACCTGCAAGGACATTTGAGTCCTCGATAGTAACATTTTCTGCTTATGCCTTTTCCAACGCAAACTTTACGTCGGGTACAACGGTGATACCTGTTCGGTCTGCACTGCCTTATACAAGCGCAACGATTGCCACGGCAACGACGTGTGTATCCTCTGCGACACCTGCAAGGACATCTGAGTCCTAGATGGAAACATTTTCTTCCTTTGCCTCTTCCAACGCAAACTTTACGTCGGGTACAACGGTGATACCTGTTCGGTCGGCAATACCATACACGTCGACGTGGATCCTCTAAAAAAAAGGGAACTTTGATATCCATGTAACACTAACCTAAGTTTACGGTAACAGAAATGGGCAAGGAAATAGTGGCTACCTTTACATTTGTTGCTCATATATTGAAGGAAGATAAAAAAGAGAGAATGGTGCAATCTTCCAGGTATGGGTGAGCCACCCAAGGTCATTAATCTCACCTTGCCAGTCAGCTAGCCCTGTTTCTTCGACATTGTCAGACTCGGCTTCCTTGGGGTTTTCTTCTGTATCACTTTCTGCATCATCTTCGGTCTCAGTGTCCTCTTCACTCGCGGGATCCTCATCAACCGTCTCATCCTCATCGGGGGCATCTCCTTTATCGGCTAAGAGATCTACAGCCTCTGTTGAGTCATCGTTCACTTGGACTGGGTCAGCTGCAACGCAGAAAATAATTAAATATTAGGTGAAAAAGAAACTCAGTAGAAATTATGGTTAATTTTCTAAAAAGGTCTAGCTGCAAAAGATAGTTTTTCAGAAGGTTACTCACGAACTTCGTAAATGCCATAGAAATTTGCTGGAAGTTTTCAAGATTTCCATAAATTTGAAGAGGTTTAAAATAGGCGCAAAAAATAATGATCTTGCCTTCTAGATTTAATGTAAAATTGCAGAAATAATTCAGCGTTATTCCTTACCGTACGCACTGACCACGATCCCAATAAGAAGCAGAATAAGAACCCTCATTTTTTTCAGCACTCCCTGAAATCAAAGGATTTGAAATCATTGAAGCGGAATTCAAGTGCAACACAGAAAAAATCAACGAAAGAACTGCAATATTGCACTGTGAATTGCAAGTCTGATGAATTAAAAATCAACAAAAAAACGCTTAATGCTGACCATCTTCAAAGTCGAAACAACTAATGATCTTACCTCAAACGACGCCCTCGATGCTGTGGGGCAACCGATGCTGTAGCTCTTATTTATTGCAATTTGGCAAAGAAAAGGCTCATTACTTTTCTTACTGACATGATTCGAAATTGAATGAGAAGAATTCCAAAACAGTGTTATTTGAAAAGAGATGCGGGGGCGAGGATATTCTACGTCAGGACAAACACAAACTGATAAACAAGTATTTGAATGTGATCTTTGACTGACCGAAAAAAGACCTCTTAATTGAGGAAGAAGCTTTGAATTCTAACAAAAGCACCCAGTCTCCGAGACAAATTCTACCTCATTTAGATAATTGTATTCGTAATCCTTTCAATCAAATTCAAAAGAAAAAAACAACTTCACCTATTTACGTTCCCATTTCAAAATATCAAAAGAAGTGGCCTTGGAAAATTCGAAAAAGATCACACTCCAACATATAATTACATCTTAAGGCTGATTTCAATGAGGCGAATTTTGCAGCGAATTAATTAGGCCTAGTTTACACTGTGCCGGATAAATTTTATCCGCATCAAAATTAGTTCAGATAGGTTTCGCGTTTACACTAGACCCACACTATCCGCAAAAATTTGAGAGCGGCTATCCGCACGAATTTGAGAGCGGCTATCCGAACAAAATCTCGTGGCGTACCCAAAGGGGGGAATGGGGGGTCCAGACCCCCCCCGCACTTTTCTAAAATATGGTCCTCGAGATTTGTCAAAAAACGATGTTAAACTCATTGG